AGAACATAATCTGTGAAGTACAAAAGGCATAGGCAAGAATGACTTTTTCTTTAAAAAAAAGAAAGAAATATTTGTTGTAAATCTCTTTTTTCTTTGAAAATAGGAAAAATACTTAGATATTACCAATCACTTTTTGTTCTGAATTCCAGTCTTGTCAGAATAATAAATATACATAGTCCAATACGCACACATATATGTATATACACACAAATCACTGTATCTGCCCCAACATGTAACCAATTAAGGAATTGATACCAATATTTTCTTGCCAGAGCTGTACCAAATATAACTATGGGAAACACAAAAAATACATTCAATTGAAAGCATAGTGGAACGGGGGGGAAAAAGGGGCATTTATTCAAACTGGAATATCACATATCACAAAAATTCATGTATTTAAATGCATCAAAACCAGGCAAGACTATCTCATTTATTTTTCTAAATCAAAGCAACACTAAGTTAAACATTTGCTTAGTGGGAAAAAAAATCAGCATAATTTTCTTTGACTTTACATGCATTATGTTTCATTACTGATCCAGCTCAGTACCTCCTCAATTTGCGGGATCTTATCTCCCAGTGCCTTGGCTGGATTTTAGGACTAATGTTAATCCATGGAAGCTGGAAAATTTCCTCTACATTGTTCCCAACAGTAAGTACAGAAGGAAATTTAATTCCTATTCTCACACTGATGTTTTACAGACCTCGTCCCATGTTTAGAAATAGGAATAGCCTTTTTCAGTGAGTACAAACTAACTTTTGCCTCAAGCCTTGCCATGCGCTCTCGTTCAAGTCTCTCCTTCTCAAGTCTCGCTGCTTCTTCTCGTTCAGCTTCATCTGAAGATTGGGGAATAGATCAAGAGCATAACTATATTTTGCCGAATAAAACCAGACAAGTGATTTTGTTATTAGCTGTAACGACAAAACAACCATAAAATGAGCAGCAGGAATGTTTAGCATTGCACAGAAATCTTCTCCCACATGAGTCAAATTCATTTGAATCGTAGTACTAAAACACACTATCTATGGCACTACCCCACCAGCCTGTGATGATACAAGTGGAGACAAGACAAGGATCAACAAGCCCTTTTTCCCCCCTCAGAACAGCAGCAGGAGTGCTCTCCTGTTCCAGCTTCAGTAGACACAGGTTCTTGATCCAAAGTCTGTGGTGAAACTGAGTGGTTCAGTTCCAAGTTACTCTTCTCCTTTCCTACAACCACTGGTTTCCTACAACTTCAACCTTCTGGCTGTTTGTTCATTGAAATCCTCCTCATGATCAGCTATTCCCCATCCCAGCAAAGCTTCTCTTTGCTGCCATTAGGACTAGAAAGTTAGAGAGGATGTGAAAATTAAAATTGATTTCAACCTCTAAGCCTTCAGCCTAAACTGGAACATTAAACCAGAGGTTCCCAAACAGAGTCTTGAATGTCCCCATCTACTTGGAAATCATGTCAAGGGTATCAGTGTTGCACTGAGGCGAGAGCAACAGCAGTTCCCAAACCTGCCTGAGCTGCTACTCCCACCCACAAAAGGCTACTAGAGATTAGTAGTCACTTAGTAGCAGTCACAGCGTGCCCAAGCCCCCACCAGGATGGATTAATGGCAAGTAAATTCTTCCCAAACTCCTGACTGCAGGAGAAATAACTGGAGGAGGGAGTATTGCTCTGACAGGACAGTGAGATGTGGCATCAACCAACACAGAATTTGGCTCACACCAGAAAACAGAGAGGACTCACCTATGTTTGTGAAACACAAATACCAATTCACACGTAGCTCAAGAAATTACTTTCTGTACATTTCTTTAAAATAAATGATTTGCCCATCACATTCCCTATAAGTGAAGTGCACAGTACCTCCCTCATTCAGCTTCACTTCCTCTTCTTTCTTTTCAGCTTTTTTGCCACCGGGCTTAATGTTTGCAGTAAATTAGAAGAAAACAAATGTCAGCGTTATTTTAATATATTCTGAGAGGTGTATAACTCTATAAATCTGCCCTTCTAATGTGATCCCTGAATTAATATTTTAGACTCCCTGCACAGTGAATGAAACACCCAGAATGGCAATAAACATTCTGAACTCAATTTTAGTCTCATTTTCATGATGCAATATATGCTCTTACAATTAATATATTATTCTATGCTAGACATTCCCAAACATGGCCACAAACAGGAGAACATTGTTTTTAATGTAGAAATTGAATAAGGTAGATGGCTAAGAAAGCAGATGTTATAACTTCAAATATTTTAGGAAATACTGGGAAATGTATTTTGGGGCAACTCTGGCATTTAGAAGCATCTAATTCAAAAGACAAGTAGCAAGGGTTCTCTTTTCTGTTATAAAATCCTCACTGCAACTCCAGACAGCCCACTATCCAACCTCTGGCTTAATCCTAGAAAAACTGTATTTTAAATCTGGATTTCTCAGAAATTAGTGTATCAATTCTTTGAGGTCTGGGTATATAGTTTATAAAAATAAAAGACAAGGTAAGTAACATGCAAAATCTACTGTCATGTGACAGATGAACCAAAATAGAACACTGGTTTTTGTCCAGTAATTCATAGCATTCACAGATTTCTTACGGATGGTACACATAAAAATGTGATATTTGGATCTAAACTGCAAAATTAATTCCCAGCCAACATAAGTGTTTACGAGTGGGGCAAATAAGGCTATTTTTTTGTACACGAGGAAATAAACCATGATATTCTGCATTGTTTCCTCTACATGCTGGAGCCTAAGAGTGACAGCAGCCTAAACTCAGGTTGAAAGGCAAGGTATTGATGAAAAAAAATACACCAAGGAAATACATCCTGATCCTTTTTCACGCACGAAGTGTGTTACAAATACTGTTATTTCATACTTTGATTCTGATTTCAGATATAAATAACTACGTGGAAAGCTCTTCACTTTACACTACTTTGCGTGGCAGTAAATATATAGATACGGGTGACTTTGAATACAGAGGTTATCACAAAGCTGTAACAAAACCAATGGTAATAATTTAGTGCCAACAACACACATATAACCACCAGAGTTTGAGGGCATCTTATCACATTTGTTACCTTCGCAAAATTATCCTGAAATAGAATCAGTAAACCCCACAATTCTACCCATTAAGGTTTCAGGGAAGAATCAGGTTTTTTTCACTTAAACAAACAAACAAATAAATCTTTGATTACTTTCAGCAAAAAGGGAAATTTGTTGTTTCAATTACTTGTAGTCACTTTTTACTCCATTTCTTTTCACATTCTTATGACTTAACATAGCACTGACACGACTGAGAGGCACAGCTGGGGAGGGGGGGTGTGTGGATAAATTCATTATTAAAGAATTAAGAATAATCCATGGGATGAATTTATACAATCCAGTTTCCCCTGGACTTCTGCCTGTTGTACCTCCACCCACCATATTCTGTGACCAGCCTGTGGCTCAAACCACAGAACCACAGAATCACTGAGGTTGGAAAAGACCTGCAAGATCAGTGAGTCCACCCTGTGCCCGATGCCCACCTTGTCACCCAGCCCAGAGCACTGAGTGCCATGGCCAGTTGTTCCCTGGACACCTCCAGGGATGGGGACTCCACCACCTCCCTGGGCAGCCCCTTCCAAGGCCTGACCACCCTTTCAGTGAAGAAATTCCTCCTGATGCCCGACCTGAAGACCTTCCCTGGTGCAGCCCGAGGCCAATTCCTCTCATCCTGTCCCTTGTTCCCTGGGAGCAGAGCCCGACCCCCACCTGACTACAACCTCCTGTCAGGGAATTGCAGCAAATGAGAAGGTCCCTCCTGAGCCTCCTTTTCTCCAGGTTGAGCCCCCCCAGCTCCCTCAGTCCTGGAGATGCCTCTTCCTCTTTCAAATTCACTTATCCCTCAACATATTAAAAAAATAAATGCAACAATGAACTAAAGCATGTTTCTACCTACCTTTTTCTTCGATTTTGGACCCTAAAAGATTAGGAAAAAAAAAAGAGGTAAAATGCATACCAGAGAACAGGGGATCAACTATAAAAGAATAATTAGAAAATACAACTATTCTGTAAAATTAGGTGAGGTTAACTGTTGAAAAACTGTAATGACAATAACTTCAACATTGCAGAAAATTAGCCACCAACACATGTCTACAGACTGCCATAATTTATAAGGCTAAATTACACTTATGATTAAGGAAGTGTATTTACTTATTCCCACTGTTAAAAAACTAATGCACATGAAATACATATTTTAGTGTAGGACATAGTTTAGTAAAATACGTTTCCAGCGTTTTCTGAATTCATCGACTGACAGCAAATAACGCTAAATCACATCGTGCAATGTCAGAGAACCACCACCGAGTTTTCTGCCATCAGCTGGGGAACCGCACCCGGAAAAACGTAATTAGGGGACTTCCCCAAACAACTACAAGGAAACGAAAACAGACTGCAGAGAGCCGAACATCCAGCAGTAAATCCTTTCTTTACCAATTAACCTTTCCTGTGCAGCGCCCAAACACCGCCGCGTGAATTCGCATAACTGCAGGGCGATTAATTACCCACGCGGGAATACAGAAAGGGGAAGAAGGAGCAGGCAGGCTGCGTTTAGGGATGAAGTTTGTCACCATGGAGCGGTTGTGGCAACAAAGCCCGAGCTCCCTCCGTCCCTCCCGGCCGAGTTTCACACCGAGAATCCAGGGCAACAAACCGCGGCACGGGACTGGGGACTGCAGAAAAAAACAAGTGGTATTTTTCAGTCCTAAATCTTTTTTTTTTTCTCATATATATTCAGATATATATTTTTCCATGTAGTTCAGACGATGAGCAACGCTTCGGTCCAGCGCTGACCCACCCCACCACCGGACCCTTATCCACCCCACCACCTAATCGTTCCTCATTCCCACCCCCCGACCCTTCCCTTCTCCTCCCCGCCGCACCATCCCGCGGTGCCCGATTCCAGCAGGATCCCTCTCCCTGGATCTCCCGCTCCCCGGATCTGCCCCGGCCGCTCCGCCCCCGGCTCATGCGCAGCCCGGGCGGCCCCGCCTGACGCGGCCTGGCGGCGGCTCCGGCCGGGAACGGCTACGTCCGGGAGCGGGTGAGACCCTGGTCCGGCCTTCCCGGGATCGGGGTGGGAAGCGGGAGCGGCTCCGGGGGGAGCGGGGCAGGAGGCACCGGGACCGCGGGCACAGCGAAGGGGAGGCGGCGGCCCCCGGGCACGGCCCGGATCCGGGGGCCCGCGGGCCTCGGAGCTGGGCTGGAATCCAGGAATCCCGTCGTTTGTGGTTTGGTTTGGGATGCCCCATTTGTTTTTGGATCCCTGGAAGTGTCCGAGGACAGCTCGGATGGGGCTCTGAGCAACCTGGGATAGTGGAAGGTGTCCCTGCCCGTGGCAGGGGTTGGAACGAGATGGCCTTTAAGGTGCCCTCCAACCCAGGCCATTCTGGGTTTACATAAATAAAAACCAACTATTTTGTTACGAACACATTATTTCTCTTTTTAGCTTACAATGTGCCAGCGTGAACTGGCTTCAATTTGTAATGCACTTCAACAGTTTTAAAAACAGCAAAATTTAGGAATGCAGCAATTGCTGGAATTCATATATATATGTTTGTACATATATATATATAGGAATTCATATATATGTATGTATAGATATATATGTATGTATTATATATTTATGTATTATATCTATATATGTATTTTATATATTTATGTATTATATATGTATTTATTATATATGTATGTATTATATATGTATATGTATTTTATAAATATATTATATATATATTACACATCTATGAATATGTGTAATATATATACCTATATATGTATGTAAATATATAATGTACAGATTTATTAACTATACAAAATGTATATGAATATACAATATATGAATATATAATCTATAATATATAAATATATGGACTACATAAAAATGCACAAATACATAAAATACATAAATCCAAATAACCATTATTATAAATATTATGACTATTATAATAAATATAACTGTTAAATATAGTATAGAATATGTAAATATATATTCAATATAAATACATCTAATGTTACTACATTTAATAATATATTTAACAATATATTTCATATTAATAAATATATTTATAATTATAAAATATTATAAATATATTTTTATATATTAGACCACAGGGAAGCTGCCAGGCCAGCAGGTAGAGGGACTGTGAGGATGTGAGAAAGCAGCTGATGAACAGCACGAAGTGCCACAGTGGTTGAAAGTCTTTGGAAGTTTCTTGTTTTCTGTTAGAGGTGAGAGAGGAGAAGAGAAAGAGCAGCTAAATGGAACAAAAATTAGGAAGCCAGAAGTGGAAGAGACAGATTAGAACCAGAAAATAAGTAGTTAGAGCCTAGGGGGGCTCAGTAAGATACAGGAGCCCTAGGGAGGAGAAGGCTGGGTTTACTGACTCCCAGGGAAGGCTAATGTCCGACTGATTATCCCTCAGGTAAAAAAACCAAACAAACCAAAAAATCAGACAAGAATAAAGAGTTCACCGAAATGTGAGAATGGCCAATTCTTTAAGAGGTGAAGTGGTGAGACTGTACAAAAATGTAAGTGTCTTAAATGCCACCAGCACTTTCCTTAACCAGAAAATGAACCTCTTTCACTGCACGCTCAGTTTATTAAAACCACATTTTTTTTTTCCTCCAAGCTGCTGTACCTTGGAAGGGAGTATCCCAAAGGAGCAGACTACTTTAGAAGCCGTTTGAAAGCAGCTTTCCTAAAACACAAGGATGAGAAAGACCCTGAGAAAATTAAGCAACTGATTGCACGGGGTGAATTTGTTATAAAGGAGCTGGAGGCTTTGTACTTCCTGAGGAAATACCGAGCCATGAAACAGCGCTACTACAGCGATGACAACCAGTGACTGTGCATGCAACCAACACATCACGAAAACTGACAATAAAGGACATGTAACCTCAAAAGAAACGAAATGTAAATCCTTCCAACCCCTCTAAGGTACAAATTAGGACTTAGCTTCCCCTCAACCAGCCGATTGGGTTGTGTTTTCACTAAAACTTCAGGTGTGAAACGATTTTGCAGGAAGGAGTGGTTGCACAGCTCTGTTCTGTTTCACTTCAAAATATATCTTTAACAGAAGCTCTTCTTACCCCATAATAGTGTTTGAATGTCAATTCAAAGTGCTAATGCTTGTTACTTGGAAGCTTAACCTGAAACTCCTCTGCATTAAATGATTGATTTCCACTCACCTTCTCAAAAGTAAAGTTCTCCACTCAGCCCTGGTGAGGCCACATTTGGAGAATTGTGTTCAGTTCTGTCTCCGTAGTTCAAGAAAGACAAGGAGCTACTGAAGAGGGTCCAGTGGAGGCCACAAAGATATTTAGGGGTCTGGAGTGTGTCTTATGAGGGGAAACTGCAGGAGATGGGCCTGTTTATTCTGGAGAAGATGGAGGGGGATCTCGTCAATGCTTATAAAGATCTCTGAGGTGGGTGTCAGAGGATGGTGCCAGATTCTCCTCAGTGGTGCCCAGTGACAGGATGAGGAGCAATGGCCACAAACTAAAACACAAGAAGTTCCACTTCAGCATGAGGAAGAACTTCTTTGCACTGAGGGTGGAAGAGCCCTGGAACAGCTGCCCAGGGAGGGTGTGGAGTCTCCCTCTCTGGAGACATCCCAAACCCACCTGGACGTGTTCCTGTGTCCCCTGCTCCAGGTGACCCCTCCTTGGCAGGGAGGTTGGACTGGATGATCTCCAGAGGTTGTTTCCAACCCTGACAATTCTGTGATTCTCTGAAAGTCAATTCTTAAAGCTTTTAACCTCATCTGCTTCACTTGCAGAGGCACCACCTTCCTGTGTTAGGAGGACGACTTCGGGGTCAGGAAAGGGGTGAGTTTGAACAACAGTGGTTTAAGCACTTGGGCCCTGAAGGCAGTTTCTGCTACTGCTGATTTCTGGTGTTGTGTAACTGCTGCAGCAGGAATGGAGAACTTGATCTTTGCCCCAGGAAGAGAAGTTTGGCCACAGCTGTTTGCTCCAGGGTATCTCTGCAGGCCTTGGCTCGACTCGCACAGACTTGTGCCAGATCTGATGCTCTGTACATTGTAGGGTTGGTTGGTGTTTCCACCAACTAAACAACGCTGGAGATAGAAATAATCTTTGAAATATAGGTAAGGAATCACTGCAGCAGAGCTGTTGGCAGTAGCAAGTCTTCACACTGTCACAAATAAGTATTTTAGGGTCACTGAAAGAACCGCTGACACAGGTTTAATATAAAAGTGTGACAAAGTCCACTGGCAAAATTCACTCTACTACTCACTAGATGGTTAAAGCACAGAGAGAAAAAGGAAACTGAAGTCTAAAATTAATCAATCTAAACCTAAAATCAACCAAAAATTATCTATATGGAGGGTGAGGATGGGAAAGGGTAAGAATAAAAGGAATAAGGGAGATCCTCCTCACAATGTTCAGACTGGACCTCCCTCCTTGCCAGAATTAGCCCTGCACTTGATCAATGGTTTAGGCCTAAACTTAACACTTAAGCTTAACAGCACTTAATTGATAGCTTAATTTAAACAATTTAACAAAAGGCTCATACAGAATTTACTGTAAGCACAACAGTAACTCACAGGCTTATTTTATTTATTTACAAATAAAGTACTTAAGAATCTAGGAGAGCAACATTCGCGGTACATTTGCTGTAGGATATCCACACTCACACAGACCTAAAGGGGTATGTGGGAAGTATACACCTGTGAAAAATTCCCCTGGAATTCAGTGCTATTGCTCCTCCAAACTGGAGAGTTCACTGGCTCTGAGAGGCCCCACTCAGAGGGAAGTGCTGGTGTGTTCCAGGAGAGCTCCGAGGGTCTGCTGCTTACAGATCCACAAGAGAGCTGGATTTAGTCACAGTAATTTTCCATCCTGACCACAATTCGGGTCGGTAACTTTCTTTGAAAGCTTGATAACAGAAATGTTGCTCCACTTGGGATGTTATTCAGGCAAGAAAAATAAGTTTCCAAGGCTGGTTAAAAACCAGGAGCTCGTTAAGACAGCTGGGAACAGTGTTCCTGGTAAGCTCAGGAGGAGCTCAGCCCAGGTGCTCCTTGTGAAGGCCTAACGAGCATTTCTGAGATCACTCCTGAGGAGGAGGCAGTGGGAGGGATTCACTACCACACAAAATTCACTACACACACAAAATCCTAGGAGAGAATTTAAAAAACGATGGCAGGGTACACTGCCTTGTGACAAAACTGCAATTCAGTTTCTAGTGCCACACCGATGGGAAAAACAGCCCTTGCACATCAAATGAGCTCCTCAGAAATAAAGATGCAGTTGCACCTCCCCTGGGAGAGGCAGGGAACACCCAAGTGCAGGGACAGCAGCTTTGGGACAGGCAGCACCTGAAGAAATGCAAGACATAAAAGGAGAACAACTGCCAAACACACACAGTTCGTAGGATGCATCATTACCGAGATGAGGCACCGAAATTCTTGCAGAGAAAAAGGAAGCTGGGACAGAAACTCACAATAACTATTTTTTATTACATTACAATAAATAGGAGCAGTACAGTTTGACAAAAAAATGACAAATTCCAGATCACCTCACAGCACATACTCCTAAAAACATTAAAAATTTTAAAACAAACAGTGGTCTTTTTTTTTTCCTTTTTTTTAACTTAATGTCTGGCATGACCAACATTCCGAGGTCACACAACCAAATTATGGAAAAACTGGATCACACTGCATATGTTCCACATCAAATAAAGCACAATGTACAAAATGTGCATGTTTCAGTTTACACTATACAAAAATAGTTAAAATACATTCCAGGTAAACATATTACATTAAGAAGTCATTCTAGTAAGAAGTTGGCACTCAAGAGGAAAAAGCAGAAGTATTTTCAACATGAAAACACAAGACAGTGGAATAAAGAAATGTTAGGAAAGATTTACCATCTATGTAGCTTTATGTAAACTTGAGACAAAATGATTTGTTTTACAGTTTGATGGTCTTTGAAGGTAATAATTGTATTGCTTCATAGTATAGACAAGAGCAGAAGATTGTGTGTCAGTATTTACCCATTTCAGAGATCCTGTTACTGTGACCAAGTCCACACTTCTCAGTTAGCAAAAAAGTTCAGGGCAATGAAACTGGTCAGAATAATTGAGTTTGGAGCAATCCAATGATACAGGTGTTTAGCAGGGTTACATAAAGCTACCGCAAGAAGGTGTTACTCCCTGACACATGGCAGTTCCACGTGCTAACGTGGTCAGTGACTCACAGGGTCGTTCAGTAGTTGCTCTCAGGACAGACAAGCACCCAGGGATGTTCTGGGAAAGCATCTCAGGTAGGGCAAGACAATAAGGAAGGGATCAACTTGTGCAAGCTGCAGTCCAACATGCTTCACCAAATCGCAACAAATACCAAGACAAAACTGCACAACGGTGGCAAGGTTGTGGTTTGGGGTTGGTTGTTGTTTTTTTTTTTTTAGTAAATAAGGGCTAATCTAAATGGATTTTGTACTAATTTAATCAGACTGGCAGCTACAGATCACATTTGCTGAAAAAGAAACCCCAACACTAGCTTACATATAGCTTTATAGTAGAGCTATATAAATCCACATTTGATGAATAAGACATTTCAGCTACAATTTCCTAACAGTTTTTAGTTAAATGAATGTCAGAATTTTAGACCAGCCCTAATTTTACATGCAGTGTGACTCAGTTACCAAAATTAAAGCAACCTTAAGATTACTTCCATTTGCTCAAGGCATACTGTCAACTTTTGCTACGTTCTCTGTGTATAGTCAAGAGTGTCTAAAATCTGCAAATAACTGTCTCCAACACATTTTAACTCTGGAAGCTCTGAAATACTTTGTGACATCAAGAATCTGTTCTTACTGGTCCTTACAATATAACATTAGGTTCTCCTGTTGCTGTTTTTCAGAATATTTCATTATCTACGTTTCAGATCGAAGCTGAAAGGAGGGAAGGGGGCTTTGGGTTTTGGTGAAGGGTGGGGAATGGGGGGCACAGGCAGGGAAAGGCATGACTTCCCTCAGCCACATGGAAATTAAAGAACATACAGGATGTGTTCCCTGCCAGCTTTGCAGCTCTCCACCTCCAACAGTCCCTCTGGGATTTTTTTTTTGTAGAAGCAAAATAATACTTTTCTCAGGCAGCTGCACCTTTGGCATCACAGAAATGGTCCAAGTTACACAGTGCAATTTTTACATACCTGTGTAAAATTTCCATGGAATTGTTTCAGTGTACCTTAGGGCAATGCTGCTCTTCCCTGTTCCCAGCCTTCCAGTCCAGTGTCCTGAACTATCCTACTTCAACATCTTGTGTCTTATTATTTGGGTACACCAGAGCCACATCTTCAAATGTTCCTCTGCAGCTGAGTTTGGCTACTATGAAGTGAACCTTCAGGGACCAAAGCTCTAATGGAACAAACAACTCCACATTTACAGTGAGACAACAGGAACTGGCAACACTGGGACTACTGGCTCGTGCTTCAGTGCAGAATAACTAGGCTACTGCAGTACCAAAAACTGAAAGCTCCTGCAAAAATCCTGCATTAATTCCAATCAGAAAACAAAACAAAACAAAAAAAAAAGAAGGAGGGGGAAGGGAAAACAAAATCACAAGAGAACTTAATCACAGAGAAAGACAACATTAAAATCTTGGCCTAGCTTCATGATAGACACTGGAATGCCACTCACCAACCATTAAATCTGTGCAACAAAACTAGTACTTCACGGACATCACACAAACAACACTGACGCTGGAAACCATGCTGACAGTTTGTGCAAATTCCACACCATTTCTATGGAATAGTGGATTCCCAAATTATTTGCATGAAGCAGCTAAATTCAACTCATTCATTCGCTCATTTGATGTTACTAGAATTTAAGATTTCTCCCCTATTTTGCACAAAACTTGGGCATCTGGAAATATTTAATGCCACTCTTGGGGGGGAAAAAAAATAATGGTTTTAATTCACTATATAATTTAGGATTAATTCTGATTTAATTCTTACGGTAAATTCTGGGTCCATGTATGAATTAACCTAAGAATTTGAATCAACTTATCTGTTAAGGCTTTTTAGTATTTCCTAGAGACACTAAGGGTGAAATCCTGCACCTACTGACCAA